CTCAAGACTCAGGTCCAATTCCTGGGCTATGTCATCTGACCCAGCAAGGTGGCTATGGATGAGAAGAAGGTAGCAGCTATCCCCCAGTGGCTCCGACCCCGTACTACCAAGGAACTACAATGCTTCCTAGGGTTTACGAATTTCTACCACCGTTTCATTCGTAACTTTATTCAGGTTGCTGCTCCCCTAACATCCCTGACGTGAGGACCCAGCCCTCATCTGAAATGGACACCCAAGGCAGAGACAGCATTCCTCCGCCTCAACAACCAGACCCGGCACACCCCTTTGAGTTAGAAATGGATGCTTCAGAAGCAGGTGTCAGCGACCGGTTACCTTATCTCTCTGGATGAGGATCGCGCCGACACCTGCTGTCTTTTCCAAGAAACTCACCCCTGTTGAAAGGAATTATGATGTCGGGGACCGGAAACTCTTAGCCATTAAATTGGCCTTAGAGAAATGGAGACACTGGCTTGAGGGGAGTTGCTATCCGTTCCAGGTGTTTACGGATCACCGCAACCTGGAGTACTTACAAAATGCAAAACGACTATCTGCACGCCAAGCTTGCTGGGCGATGTTCTTTGCTCGCTTTCAGTTTAAAGTGACTTACCTGCCCAGGAAGAAGAATGCAAAAGCTGACGCCCTATCTAGACAATTTGATCCCCCTGAGGCCATTGACCGATCCACGACCATCTTAGCACCAACCTGCTTTTCCGCTACGATTACTTGGTCTCTGGAAGAGACAATTCGGGCCACCAACGACCGTGCTGGGACCCCTACTGGATGCCCCCCGGGTAAGTTATACGTTCCCACCAACCTCCGGTCCGCCATTGTACAATTGGTCCATACGTCTTCCCACCAGCCGCCAGCTGGACAGCTCCTCCCCTTACCGATCCCATCTCGTCCCTGGTCCCACGTCGCTCTGGACTTAATCACCGATCTACCCCTCTCTCAAGGTAATACCGTCATGCTTACTATTGTAGACAGGTTCTCCAAATGTGTCGCCTAGTCGCTATGCCTAAACTCCAGAGTGCCACGGAATTAGCCGAGGTTTTGTTTCAGTGGATATTCAGATATTATGGCATCCCAGAAGATCTAGTATCCGACCGGGGTCCGCAGTTTACTTCACAAGTATACAAAGCCTTCTGTGCTAAGCTTAACATCCCTCTTAGTCTTGCCTCAGCGTACCACCCCCAGTCGAACGGCCTCGCCGAGCGGACCAACCAAGAGGTATCAAAAGCGCTATGCAAGCTCTGCAAGGACAAACCTGCTGACTGGGCTACGCACCTCGTCTGGGCCGAGTATGGTATAAACGCCAGAATAAACCCGGTCACTCGCTTGTCGCCCTTTCAATGTGTTCTAGGATTTCAGCCTTAGCTTTTCCCATGGGATGTGGCGACCTGCGACATTCCCCAGGTGGAGGACTGGTACCGAAATGCAAAAGAGGTCTGGCAAAAGACACAACTCACCCTCTCCAACCAAGCGGCTCGACAGAAAACCCACGCGGACAAACGTCAACGATCTGCCCCAACATATCGACCAGGACAACGAGTCGGGCTCTCGACCCGTAATCTGAAGCTTCCATCATGCCGCAAGTTGTCAGCCAGGTTCATCGGCCCTTTTAAGATCGCTCGCCAAGTGGGTCCCGACACCTTCCGTCTAGTCTTGCCCAGCATATATCGTGTTCATCCTACCTTTCATGCCTCGCTCCTGAAACCGGTCCGGTACAGTTCAGCGCATCCCTCTCTGGATGCGGCGGTTCCGCCACCTTGCACCTTGCAGGACGGTACATGCGTCTACCAGGTTCGGGCACTCCTGGACTCCCGTAGACGGGCCGGGGCTCTCCAGTACCTCGTAGACTGGGAGGGTTTCGGACCTGAGAAACGATCGTGGGTGCCAGCGAGGGACATCTTGGATCCTGATATGGTGTCCGCTTTCCACCGCGACCACCCCTCCAAGCCTGCACCACGTCCACAGGGTCGCCCACGCCGTCACCTTCGGCCTCCGGGAGGCGGCCGTTTTTGGGGGGGGGGCACTGTCACGCCCAGAAGGGCGGGGCAGAGTAGCTGCAACCCATTAACAACTAATCGCTCTGCTACTTAAAGCAGAACTCATCATTAATGCCTTGCGAAGTATTGTTGCCATGCATTTGTGCCTTATTGAGCATTCTTTTGTCTTGTTTCTGTCTCATCTGCCCTGCCTGTCTCATCTACCCTGCCTGTTCCATCTACCCTGCCTACCCGACTTACCTCCCACGCCCCGTTCTCCGGACCCATCCTCATCATGCTTCCCGTCCCGTCATCGCCCCGTCTCGTCCCTGCTTGTAGGACTGACTTCACCGGCATCCGAACCCTTGCATTCGACACGACCCCCTTGGCTCTTGATGTACCCGATTACCTCATTAAAATCTCTTTCTCACACATACCGGGGTTCACCTCGTTCTTGTCTGCTTCGCATCACACTGGGTATAGGGATGTAACAGTACCTTCAAAATTCAGTTTTGGCTTTTGTACAATTCAGCTAGAAAAACTAAATTTGTTTCAGAATTGCTTATTACTAAAACTCCAGACACAAAAAGAATTGGGAACATTTGACATTTGTTTGCACATTGTAAAAGTAAGTATGTAAAAAAAATATCAAAATAATAATAACAATAATAAATGATAACAATAATAAAGAACTAAATCCTATGTTCTCTACTACAGAGTATGGTCACATTTCTGTAAGCAGTAAACACTAGTGATACACAAATGATCGTAACTTAAAAAATAGTTTCATTGTTCACAGCAATTGAAACAATTTAATTAAAACAAGAAATCGTATCACGTTAAAACGTGAAAACCTTACGTTATAACCTGAAACCGTATCACGTTATAAAAAAAATATTACGTTATAACGAGAAATCCTATCCCAATAGGATTAAAAGTTCAATTGATCTGGGGCGGTGTTATGCCGAAAAAGGCATCCCTGCCATAGAATGCATGGCTGTCTCGGGAGCGCGCACCACTGAAAACAGCGAAAGGAAAGCCCTCTTTTGTAACTCGTGTAAATGATAGTTTCTGTGTATGTAAACTCATAAAACATATGTGATACATCATACAACATTGTATTTTGCTAAAGTAAAGATATACAGCATAAAACTAATAAAATAAGGATCTGAAAACGGTTTATTACGGTTTGTCCAGACTAGTTGAGGGGTGTTTAAATTAGATAGTGGGGTGGGCGGGGGGCAGAGAGGTTAGTTAAGAATGTAGGTGGGGGGAGACAGAAAGCCACAAATAATAATGAAAGTGGGCACTGTAAAAGGCCTACCCTTTGCTGTCTGTACTTAAATGCTAGGAGCATTAGAATCAAAATTCCTGATTTAGAGGTTTTTTATTTCATCAGACATATAACATTATAGGAATAACAGAAACATGGTTGAGTGACAGTGATGCAGAAGAATACAATACGGATGGTTACATGTTGGTCCGTAGAGACCGGATAGGCAAGAAGGGAGGTGGTGTTGCAGTATATGTAAAAGAAAACTTGAAGGCAAGGGAGCTCACTGATAATAATAAAAGAACAGAAGCCTTATGGGTAAAACTAGATGCTAAAAACTCAAATAGCCTAATTTTCAGTGTTTGCTATAGAGCTGTAACCCTAATAATTTGGGGTTTGGTGGGTTCACTCCAGTATAATCACAACTCCTGCACTCCCTGGAAAAATGTCTCTCCTCCACTTTCTCTCCCCTCTGAAAACCTCTCCCCTGGAACCAATCTCCTTCCGTAATCAACATAAAGTTCCCATGTGACATTGTTGCATCAAACAAAATACAAAATATTTTGTTTCATTAACAACAACAAAATATAATACACTCTGTTACAGAGCACCTAATGTAGCTACAGAGGAAAGTGGAATGATATACCATGATACAAGAATTATGAGTAATAAAAATTATGTGGTAGTTATGGGTGATTTTAATTTACCTGGGATACAGTGGGACACAGTTTCTGGCTCTTTTGTAAATGAGCTTGAGATGGTTGGATTGGTACAGGATTGTTTTTTTACTCAGTTTAATACCCCTACCAGGGGAGAATCCCTTTGTGATCCTGTTTTCTGTAAAAACCAGGATAGGATTGGAAAATTAGAGGTTACAGTAGTGATCATAACATGATTAAAGTTAATTTTGATTATGTATCTCCAGAGAGGTTTTTGTATGTCATTGTTCAGAGAATTTTCAGTAGTGTTTGCTATAAAGTTCACATTTATAAATCTTTTTCATGTGTAGTGAAGATTTGTGTAGTGGGCAGTGGTGGCTTGATGGTTAGGGTAGCGCACTTGTAATTGAAAGATTGCAGGTTCGAATCCCCCACCAGCAAGTCACCACTGAGGTACCCTGAGCAAGGTACCGTCCCCAAGCACTGCTCCCCGGGCGCTGAATTAGCTACCCTCTGCTATGTCACAAAAGTCACATATGGGTCAAATGCAGAGGTCACATTTCGTTGTTGTGTGCTGTGGTGTGTTGACACTGATCACTAAATTCTAATTCTAAACCAGATAACAGCAAAGTTGGGCTCATACCTAAAAAACTAAGCCTTGGTGGGGCCACAGATTCATTGGGGGCTTTTAATATGGCCCATTCACTGAGTTTGACACACCTGGTGTAAACTGTCTGTAAGGGCTTTGTTTGCCAAAATCTCAAGTGTAAGTGTTTATAAGCAGTCCATGCTGGTACAAGATGGAGCGCCAGAGATGGCATGTGGGGGGTGTGGCGCTCAATCAAGAATCAAGAATAAAGCCATTCTCCAAAGAGGGAGGTGGATGATGGTCATTAAAACAGCAACACAGGAATTCTTTAGTAAAGTTGCAGTTGATTTTATTGCAGTAGAGATGCATGTTTCTCAGAAATGCAAGGTACATAAGCTGAGTGCATGGGCGTGGTTAGGCCTATTTTAGGGGGCAGAAAGGGGAGAGCTAAAGCAGATACTACGTTTTCATTGCAGCGTGCATCTCTTCCTCCCTTAGGGCTCAGCAGGAGCATGAGGAGTATCTCCACCTGAGGAGCCCAGCGTCTTATTATCACTCCTGCTGGATGACAGAAACGGCAGGGGATCCTCGATGGACTGCCCCCTTCTGAGGCGCTCCAGGAGAACGGGCGTGACGTTGAAGGCATTCCGGGATGTGTAAAGGTCGGCCAGTCTGGGGTTCATAGGAGAAGGGGCGTAGTTTCTGCAATGCTTTCCTGTGAGCCCAGGAGCACACTCCACCTTATAGGAGTAGTAGAGGTTGCCATGGCTCAGCGGACAGATTTCATCATGGAAGCCACTAACAGGATTGATCGTGCACTCTCCCAGCTTGTCATTCCACCATTTGTACCACATCTTGTCTTCGTCCCACACTTCCAGCCTCATCTTTGTGTCAGACGAGAGCCGAATGGTACCAAATGGGAACTCGCTGTTCCAGGTCGGGTTGTTGTTGTTGTGGATCACCCTGGTCTGAATATTTTTGCTGGCCAGAGCAATGTAGACAAAGCCATCGGTTTCATGATATTGGTCTCCCCACAAGCCCCGGGCCCGCTTCACCGTAACCGTCACTTGGGCCAGGCCCAGCATAGTTGGGCAGCAGTCGCAGTTGGTTTGTTCACTGGCTACACAGACACAGCGGCAGGGGTCATGTTTGCTGGGTGTCGAACCTCCTGAGCATTTCTTGGAGCAGTGCTTGTATAGGGCCTTCTCCAGGATGTAGTCCTGGACTGCCTTCTTCAGCGCCGCCTTTTTGGTCTTTGGCTTCTGCACCAGATAATGCAGGGGGTGGAGAGAGTAGGTGATGATTCCCGGCATGGTCTTCAGGCTGTCCAGCCACTTCTGCATGGCTTCAGGCTTGTCAGAAAACAGGAGGTCAGAAACCATGTGCTGACCTCCCTTTACTTCATTGATCCTTTCTGTGAACTGGCTGTGGAAGCTGTTCTTGTTATTGTGTGTTTTCTTGTCACGCTTGCAGAAGTCAGCCTTAGCTTTAACAGTAACATACTTTATGGGCACGGAGGTCTCCACCTCCAGGCAGTCTTTCACCTCAGTCTCAGTGTAGCCGTTTAGCGCCGCCTGGCAGAACCGGAATGCGGTGGTGCTGCTCACGCGGCCGCCCAGCTGCACCTTCCTGATGAAGTGAGTCCCGTAGATGTCCAGTAGGCGGCGGTAGTCTTCCTTGGTGACACTGTTATACTGAGGGGGGAGGAGCTCAAGGTTGCGTGCAAACTCCGTATGGAGGGGCGGGCTGTTCTCCACTCGGTACCTGGGTGGGAAGACAAACAAAACACCCTCAGGTGTGATGTGCATTTTAGCTCTGTTTACATAAAGCTTGCAAAACACCCCCAGGTAGAGCTAGATGATATTGCTAAATATTAGTCAGTATTGATATTTATCATGATATAACTCAAGTCATTATTTCTTTACTGTGGTGGTGCAGGAGGTAGTGCTACCGTTCGGCAACCGGAGGGTTGCAGGTTCGAGCCCCGGGTCCTCCTGACTCCATCGAAGTGTTCTTGAGCAAGACACTGAACCCCAAATTGCTCCCGGTGAGCTGGTTGGCGCCTTGCATGGCAGCCTCCGCCACCGGTGTGTGAATGTGAGTGTGGATGGGT